GATACGTTGGGGTATATATTGGGGTTATATAGGGAAAATGGAAAAGAAAATAGAAACGACTATAGTATATTAGGATCATATAGGGTTATATAGGGTTATATAGGGTTATATAGGGTTATAGTCCCCCTTGAGTAGATTGAATATGGCTTCGGGTTATGAAAAGATCCCCATATACCACATATTCTATCTACTTAAGGGGGACTATATAGTTTTTTTTTTTTAATGGAAGGCGGGGGCACCCCAAGAATAACTAGTGTTTGAAGAAAGATCATGGTGATGTCTTCCACATGAAGGCCTGGTATTAGGAACTGTAATAGTGGGGGCCGGATCCTGACCTGTGGCAGCTGGCAGAGTTGGCCTCAAAACTTGAAGCGGGCCCGGTAGCTGGATCTACTCCACGCGTCCGGGGTTCAAGGCAATCAGGGTCCAGGAGTGAAAATGTCTGAGGCGGAAGCCAAATCTGTGAGAACTGCCCATAAGCTAGGGCAAAACCTAATCTTTGTCCTTCTTTGGTTTTGGAATGATCAAATTGTTTCCAGATTCATTTCATGCGCGCACTCAGCTGAGTCGTATCAAAACTCCCTCCCAACTCCGTCAATCGTGAGCAGGAAGCCTCTAAAACTAAAACCCTAGAGCTTCTGCAAGAAGTCTTTGCTTTTGGCTTCCATATGGTTGTAGATCCCCAAACCCTAAGTTCCTTATTATGTGTACCCCCAAAATGGAACCCACAATGTTGGGACATCCACATATCGAGGAGCACGGAAGACTAGAAGCACCCTGGCAGGTTGTTCAAGTTGGTATTGAGTTTTTTGCCTCCTCAAATGTTCACATGCTCCGCCCTACTCCTTGCGTACTCGCCCCCAAGTTAAGGCCCCGAATGTCTACCTACATCCTGTCTACAGCACAAGTTTTGATGCGACATGTCTGCGCTCCGAACCCTTACAGCATAAACACCCCTAAACTCCATACTCCCAGAACCCTAAACGCTAAACCCTAAACCCCAAACCCTAGAACCCCGGAGCTTTCGACCTTAAATCCAAAGGCTGTGGAAAACCCTGGGCCAGCTTCAGGAAGAGGTCCTAAACCTTAAGCCCTAAACAGGATCACTTGGAGATTTACTGGTGTTTGGGATCTAGGGTTTAGGGTTTAGATTTGGTTTGGCTTTCAAGTATGCAGATATAGGCGGATATACATGGGATGTATTGGTTTAGGGTTTAGGGGGAGAGGATTTCTGATCAGTATGCTCGGGTTCCTACTGGGATGCCATGTTGGTCTTTTGGTGTATTGGTAAGTTGGACTCACAAAAATCCATCATACTCCCTGAAGATCCTTGGGGTCTTAAGGGCCACACAGTTTGAGAACCACCCTCTGTTGAGGAAGCCATTGGTTATGCCCGGTGATCTTTGTACGGGTTTAGGCTGAACGGCTTGAAGCTGAGAAGTAGAAACCTAAATGATTAAACATAATGCCCTTATGACCCTTGTTTCCCATTGTTTCCCTATGGTCTAACATGCCCCCGAACCCTGTTCTACTTATTTTGCTTTAGATCATGTTCAGAACAGCAAAGTTTCGAGGTTTTGGGTTTGAAGAATGTGGAGGGGTCTGAGGATGAACCAGAGCTAAACCCTAAATCCTTAAACCCTGAAACCCTAAACGCTTAAACCCTAAACCTTAAGTCCGAGCCTCTTCTGCAGAGTTTTTTTGCCAAGACCTTTCGACTCTTGGATTCAAGGCTTTAGGGTGTTGCTTCCAGCGTTTTTTCCCCCTCAAACCAAACTGGCATCCCCCACAAACTGGTTTGCTGTCCGCAATATAGGCAATCAGGGCTTGGGCTCAGGGTTTAAACTGTGGGTATATAGTAAGTAATGGGGTTTCCTTGTGATAGTAATTCTACAGCAGTTCTCTACCAACAACATTCCAGTAGAGGGCATACACAGACCACCGCCCTTTGACATCCAAACCATGGTCCCTTTTTCTGGCCGCTCATTTTGTAGGCCACAAAAAATGGGACCAGGACACATATCGGGTTCGATGTCAACCCTAAACCCTGAACTTTAAATCCTAAGCTCCAAACCCTATACCCTGAATCCTAAACTCTAAGAACTGAACCCTAAACCCCAAACCCGAAGCCCTGAGCCCTAAATCCTGGACACTTGGCTCTGAACCCTAAACTACCTCAAACCAGTGCTCATTGCGGCAGGCGTAAAAGTCCGCTGATTTGAACAAAAATCCCCAACCCGCAGGGAGGGTAGAGTTTAGGGCCTTGTTTCAAGAGCCCAGGGCTTGATTGGCTTAAGGACTTCTCCAATGTTATTTGGCAATCTGAACTCCTTAAATTGGGGTTATACAAAGTTTAGGGTTTAGAGTTTGGGGTTTAGGGTTCAGAGTTTAGGGGCTAAACTCCTTAAAGGGGGGCTATATAGGGCATTGTATAGGGGAGTGTTGGGTGGGTTATTAAGGGGCATATTAGGAGTTTAGACCATGGCTCATATGGCAATAGGAGTTATGCAGGGCCCAGACGGGGATTCAAAAGGAATTCTGTAGGGGATATCCTGAACCCTAAACCCATAAAGCCTTAAACCCCTTAGCCGCTAAACCCTACAGTGGGGATTACCTGATGCCCCTAAACCCTAAATCGATAATTCGGGGATTACATAATGATATTACCCGGGAGCTGCCAGGCTCTGCGGGAGCGCAGGGAGAAGGAAGAGCTGAGGCTGGTGCTCGGAGGGTTCAAGGGATTTGGGGGTTTTGGGGTTAACGGGATTTGGGGTTTAGGGTTTAGGGTTTAGGGTTTAAGTTAGGGCTTTGGGGTCTAGGGTTGAGGGTTAAGTAGGGTTCATATAGTTCCTTTGAAGGGGTTAGGGTGTATATTTTGGGGGTGTATGGTGTGTGGGGCTTTTATGGGGGTATATAGGGGAATGGAAAAGAAAGTGGAAGCTCAGGGCTTAGGTTTAATGCTTTTTTTAGGATTTAGGGTTTGGGGCAAGTAGGGTTTTGGGGTGATCAGGGCTTGGGGGTTTAGGGGCTTTGGGGTTTGAGGCGGTTTGGGTGTAGGGCGGGCAGTGGATAGTAGTCTTCGTAGCGCACTACGAAGTTCTATGGATCTATATTTGTTTGGAGGAGTGTAGGAAAGGATTTTAAAGGGTTATGGGGTTGGGATGTACGCTTTGGAAGAGTTGGGGTTGCAGGGTTTAGGCTTGGAGTCTGGGCGAAGAGGTTCAGGGCTGCCGGTCGGAGTCAGGGTTAGCAGTTTTGCCTTTTGGTTTCGGTTACATAGTCCGCCCTAAGTGGATAGAATATGTGGTATATGGGGATCTTAGTATAATATACCCAAAGCCAGTTTCTATCTGCTTAAGGGGGGACTGTAAAGGTTAGTAGTAATTTCTTGGATGCTTGGTGGAGTAGGCAGCAGAAACCTTACAGTCGCTAGGCAATGTCTGTGCCCCGAGGCAGGAGAATCGCCAGCTTCAACGACGCCTCCCGGCTGCAATCCTTTAACCCAAAACCCTAAGTAGCTGGATCCGTAACTAGTAGCTTCCATTTTCTTTTCCATTCCCCTAAATACCCCGAGATACCCCCATATAGACCTATGTAACCCTAATACATTTTAAAGCAAGCCCCGGGTTGGTGTAGAGTCCAGGGCTGGTGCAGGGTTGAGAGTCTGCTCGGAGCGTGAGGTAAATCTTGGTAGGTATGGCTATAGCCCCGGCCGGCCACATGATAGCCCCTGTTGTACCCGTTCTGAAGCAATGTACGAAGTCTCCGGATCCTGCAAGTAGACCTTTAGGGATTCAGGTTGAGGCTTCAAAGTTCCAGAATTGACCCCGGACTACTTCCACGCTTTCCAGCCTGCTGGATCCTGCTTTGCTGAGGTCTTGACAAGCTCAGTCAAGATGTCTGATCCTGAGGTAGGGTATAGTGTTTGAGGGTTTGTGATTTTGGGATTTAGGGTTTGGAGTTTAGGGGTTTAGGGCTTCAAGGCTTAGGGGATCAGAGTGTTGGAGTCAGGGGACAACTCAGGGGATAGGATACTTTTCTTCCTCCAGTCAAAGCCCTACAGAAGGCACCCTGGAGAGTCTGAGGTGGTGGGGCTTGCATAGTCTTTAATGTGCTGTTCATGTTGGAACGTATGCCTAAAAAGGCCAGGATTGGGTGTCCCAAACTTGACCTCCAAGCCCCAACCCTGAAAACGGAAACGCTGAGCCCTAAATCCCACAGCTGCTCTCAGCCCCTGACTTTCCCGAATTCAAGGGATCCTACCCTAAACCCTAAACCCTAAACCCCTAAACCCAAAACCCCTAAACCCCTAAACCCTCAACCCTACACCCTAAGGCTGTTCCGCTTTGCCGACCTCCTCCACCGGGGACGTGCGCTGGCCCGCTTGAGGCAATGGGATGCATGGGGCCACGGGAATCGGGGAAGTCGGTACGCAGCGGAGAGATTTGTAGACCCTACGTTTTTGCCCATTATCCCTATATAACCCCAATATGTATCTATCATATTATAATATAGTAGTTTCAATTTCCGTTTCCATTATCCCTATATAACCCCAATATGTACCATATTACAATGTAGTAGTTTCCATTTCCTTTTCCACTATCCCTATATAACCACTACATAACCCCGGTCCCACCTTTAGGGCGAGAGAGGGTCCAGAGGGTGGGCCTGCCATTCAGGGCCTCATTCGTTGATTCCTTCGAGGTTATATCCATCTATGCCAGCTAGAGGTCATTTCCCAGAGGGTATAGTTCAGGTTTAGGATCCAGGTGTTACAACTGTTTGTGGATTTGGGGCCCAGGGGTGCAAGATTGGCCTTGAGTTTCCTGACTCTACCTGCGAGATCTAATCCCTTTCCTGATGCCTTGCACAGACCCCGCACACCCTAAACCCTAAACCCTAAACGCACTGAATTCTGAGCCCTAAATTCCGCAAGCCTCCTAAACCTAGACCCAAAAAGCCGCAAGCTGCTGCACATCCAAATCCAATCCCAATGAGCTATAGTCTAAAAGGGTTATACTACGCTTTAGGGTTTAGGGTTTGGGATTTAGGGTTTAGGGGCAAAACTCCTTAAAAGGGGGTTCTATGGGAGATTATATAGGGGACTAGTATAGAGGCCACTCAGGAAATGATAGAAGTTTAGACAAGGCTCAAATATTTCCCAAAACCAGAAGCCCTAAATGAGAGCTGTAAATGCCTAAGCTGAAATCACCCTGAGGCTCAGAGTTAACCCTGAACCCTTAAAACCTTAAACCCTAAACCCTATATAACCCACTATACTAGTTTCCATTTTCTTTTCCATTATCCCCATATAACCCTAATATACTATAGTAGTTTCCATTTTCTTTTTCATTATCCCGACATTGCTCAGTATTCTATAGTAGTTTCCATTTTCTTTTCCATTTGTTAGAATGTATTTGGACCCGTAGAGTGCTCTGAGAAGTTGCTTTCAATCTGCAAAGATGCGCGCACAGTCACACAGCACAGGAGCCACACCCAGGGCCCCTAACATGCCCTGACTATAGCAAAGTCATGAATAGTGGCCCTACCCCTGAGCCCCTAAACTGCAATTATACGGATAATACTGGAAAAGGAAATTGAAACCACTCTATCGTAAGAGGGTTTAGGGCTAAGGTATAGGGCGTATATAGGGATGATGGAAAAGAAGATGGAAGCTACTGCATTTTCATAGGTCTTCAACCCTAAACCCTAAACAGTAGTTTCCATTTTCTTTTCCATTATTCCCATATTACCCTATACTCCCCCAATGGGTAGCCCTAAACGCTAAACCCTAAACCTTAGGGTTTGCCCTGTCAACCTCCGAAAGCAGGATGGATCCATGAGCTTTGCTCCGGCTGGCTCGGGTGCAAGCAGCGTGCCCGTGGAGGTGTTACTGTGGATGCTAAAAATCCTGCATGACCGTAATATACTATAGCACTATAATTCCCAAGGTATAAGGCACTTATCGGGTTAATGAAGGATTTTTAGATCCACCGTACGTCCGGATGCGGTGGTGGGGGCTTGGAATCCCAAATTGGAAATATGAGCTACTAGAGTTAGGTGGGGGGGACCTAGATGGGGATGTATAGAGGTTATAGAGGTTTTAGAGGGACCTATAAGGAATGTACGACATCTTTAGTCCAGGGTTCATATGAGTTTTATGGTGGGGTTGCTTCCGGGATGATACAAATTTCAAACATATGCGCAACCAAGCCGCATTTGGAGTTTATGCCTTCCAGTTCGGACTTGGCCCGACACTTCAGGGATTTGGGAGTCGCCACATGGTGCAGGGTTTCGGGTGTAGTCGTGATCATGTGGTGGATGACAAACATGGTGGTGATGATGATGGCGGCGCGTTTTGTGGCCTGGCATGGTCAAGGGTTTAGTGTTTAGGGTGTAAGAGTCGAGATTGCTGTTGTCACTTGCCTCGGTGTTGGTGTAAGGTTTAGTTTTTGAAGTGAAATCTATCAGTTGTATACAACCTCAAGCCTTCCCCGACATCATGAAGGGCCACGAGAGGGATATGATGGAAGAAAAATAGCATGCATGGATGATAATGATTTATGGGGGGAACGGAATGGGCATTGGTATTCTTGCGGGCACCGCTGCATCTTGAACTTTAGGGTTTACGGTTTAGGATGTCTCACTGGAAGGTTGGGGGATGTAGTAGTGTTTTGAAGGCTTGCAGATTTGTAGTGAATGGTGTGGTCCAATACTGTCAAGTTCGGTTCAAGTTCGGTTCCCCTCAACGTTATCTGGCAGAGACTGCAGCCCCCCATTTTAGGCAGTCCTCAACTTCCAGATCCCACGGTGCAGTCATTCTCTGCTGATCTGTTTTGGGTCAGTGTAAAACGAGCTTGCAATGTGTATTCTGAACCCACGCACGGCATATGTTAGGAGGACCCCCCACCCTGCAATAGTGGTATAATAAGAATATGAGAGGACCCTAATATAATCCCTATTATCCCTTACAGTCACTATTACTGGGTGGGGGGTCCACCGAAGGCATATTTTATGCCAGGGAAGGATAAGATAAGCGATCCCCACGCTCGCAGCATTGCAGGCTGTGCAGCCGATTGTCGCGCTCGGGGCCCTATGCAACGCATTGGTGTGTCTCAAACGTAATTGTCGGGAAGCGAGATTGGCTCTCTACAGTCTGTATCCTGGACTTCGACAGTCCTCAAATTCAAGGTTGCCCTAAATCCTAAACCAAAGTTTTGCAATAATGTATTCCTAGGACTGCAAATGTTCTTGGCAGGCCTCACTTTCGAGGCCTGGAGAGAAGTTCTCATTGGGGGGAACACAGTGGGGCTTCAACTTCTCTGATGGATGACTCTTTCGATGTGGTTCTAGTCAATCTTACTCTGTTTCTTTCCGTAGGAATGGAAATGCTCCCCCGAACCGGCAAAGAGAGCTTAAACAAAACACTGGAATTTAATGTCTTCTCTGTTGGGGAAAAGGGTTCATCAGGATATGAACAGTGTGATGATCTCGTGGCCAATAGTTTATAGTAGCCCTCCCACGCCCAACGAAAAGCACTCGTTCTGAGCCCTGACTTCCCCTACCCCTGGACATGGGGAACCCTGAAAAGTCTTGAAAACCTCATGCCCTATAAACCCCAATATATACCCTAATCTAAACCCTAATATACTATAGTAGTAGTTTCCTATACCCCGAATATGTACCCTCATCCAAATCCTAAACCCTAATATACCATAGGGTGGATATTGAAAATCCTGCATGGCCCTAAGGACCATATACCTTAGGAATTACAGTACTATAGTATATTAAGGTCATGCAGGATTTTTCGTATCAACAAACCCTAAGCCCTAAACCCTAAACCCTAAACCCTAAATCCTAAACCCTAAACCCTAAACCTTAAAGTAGTTTGGGCAACTTCTAGGCCAAGCCCGCCCAAGTCTCTGATGACCTCCTTCCGCCAGGCTGCTGGGGGAACAAGACTTACCCAGACCCCCAACAGGATCTGAACATTATTAGGGTTAAGGGTTTAGGGTTTAAGGTGTAGGGTTTAGGGTTTAGGGTTTAGGGTTTGTCCTAGAACCAAAAGGGGAATTATATAAGGATTATATAGGGGTTATAATGGGTCTATATAGGGGATCTCATTTTTTAGATCCTCCCAGGGGTCTGGGTAGGGAGACAGCTTAGGATTGATTGAGTTGCGTTAAGGACCTGTCATGAACTTACCATAGTTTGGGTATGTATATGTATATATACACAGATATATATATATATATATGGGTTTAGGGTTTGTAGGGTTTAGGACTTAAGTTGTCAGACTATCGACATAAATGAAGCGATAGGGTTTCCGTATTAGAGTAATTGAATTCAAGTTCCTTAACTGAATTAAATTTAATACATCTCAATAAAGATAGTTATAATGATATTTATAGATTTAATAATAATGAAAATGATAATGAAATTTATCTAACCCTAGTTGAGGATGTTGGGGATGCTGATGTAGGCTTTAAGGCCCGAGGATGAGGATCTTCGACTTGGGGATTAGGGTTTCGGATGGCTTAGGGCTGAGGGTTTAAGGTCTGTTTAGGGTTTAGGTTTTAGGGTTCGGGTTATGATAAGGCTTCATTATTTGGCGTTTAGGGTTTAGGTTTCGGGGCTTCAGAAGGGTAAACCCCTTTCTGCTCAACATGAAGCACGGAGCGCATTTAATGTGTAGTGGTGGGAAACTTCCAACATTAGACAAAGGGCTACCCTGCAAAATGTGGACCGTTCGATTGTCATACGACGCTTCTGGGGGTGTGACAACGACTGTCAGATGCTCACGGTTTACGGCTTGGGGCTTCGGAATGAAAGGGGTTAGGATTCAGGATCTCCGGTTTAAGGGATGAGGAAAGAGTCAGATGTTCACTTGTGCCGCTGCTGCCCCTGCTGCGGGGTCTCATTGCATTCGCAAACACTTTTTCAAGTACTGTTTGCAATTGTATTCCTTTCCTCCTCCCTCATCAAAGTGTGTGCATCGCATGCCACATATGACTAACAACTTCCAGTGAAACAGGATCAGGGTTCTGGCCACTGCAATTACTATAAGTCCTTCCAAGGAGTTGTGGAGTGTACGGTGCTTCAGCAACAGCAAGTAGGACTCGGAGTGGAGGCCCGTAAAGCTCAACCCCAAGAATGAGGTGTTGTAGTCCCCCTTAAGTAGATAGAATATGGCTTTGGGTATACTACAATAAGATCCCCATATACCCTATATTCTATCTACTTAAGCGGGGCCATATCCCTCCAGAATCCCAATAACTTCAGATGCATCCACATATGATCCTTTGTGACTAGGGCTCACCTGCCTTCCGCACCGATCCAGAGGCCTCAACCCCGAATGAAAACCCTGTATCCTTCACTTTTAGTCCCTAATTCCCCAAGCCCCTGAGACCTAAGCCCTCAGCCCTGAGTCCCAAACTCTACACCTTCAAAACCCTAAACCCTAAACCCTACCACTCCTGGCTTCCGCCGTCCTGTGTTGGCTCAAAACCTGCAGCCCTCATTTGCTTTCGCACGTGCTCACTGTGGCCAAGCCAGCTGCCCAGCCTTCTCGGGGACTTATGTAGGGCATATAGGGATTATATAGGGGCTATACAGGGGCTATGTAGGGGTTATACAGGGTTATATAGGGGTTATGCAGCGGACATGTAGGGGTTATGTAGGGTTTAGTGTTCTCGGGTTCCTTTTTTGCGGTCCTTTTAATGAGGCTTATCGTATTTAGGGGGTCATATTGGGGCACCCCCATTCAGGGACATTACCACATGAGGGTTTACAGAGGTTATTTTTACAGTAGCGAAATGGATGATCAAATGGAATCACCCGGAGTGAAATGGAAACTGCGATTGATTGGGCTTTATTTCGGGTTAGGGGTGTAGGGTTGGGGGTTTAAAGTTGGTTTGCTTGCGCTGGGGCGGGTTGGGTTTAGTGCCTGCTCCTAACACTTCCCTAAACTCCCACAGCTTTTGCTTCAACCCCTGTGTTCAGGCTTTATTTTGCTTCTGGAGTCAGCTGCAAGTTTCACCGACGCAGCAGTATCTACAGCATCTACAAACATTGCTGTTGCTCTGTTGGCTTCTTGCTTCTTTTCTTCTTGCTATGCCGCAGACCATTACCGTTCGCGCTGCGCCGGAGCTTCCCCGCGACGGTGTTGCAGCTCCAGTGCCTGCGCGTAAGTCTGGTTCTTTACCTTCGGGTGGTATTCATCGACCAAGCTCCGCAGAAGGCCTTATTCGTTGATAACGCTCAGATTTTTTTCCAACTTTCACTCCTCTTCAATAATCTCTCCTGAAGCGTCTGACAACAAAGTTGGCAAGCAGGGTGGTTCTGTCAACGTGGCGTCTTCCAAGTCACTTTGCATTAGCTCGGGTTCCCTACGAGCGAAAGAGAAGACGCATGTCGAGTACATTCTGCTGTTATTTGGGCAGGTCTTAGTGAGTCTTTGCAAGCTGCCAGCGACCTGTTTTCGGAGAGTAATGTGGTCACAACTGACCCCGTGAGGCGCCTGTTCTTGGACAAGGCGCCCTCGAATTTAAGGAGGCGGCCGCGGTAGTGATGCCCTCCCCAAGCCGATGGTCTTGCCGCCTCTTGCCAGTGGCAGAGCAAAGATGCCGCTACGGAAGCCGGGTCCTCTTCTCGCGCTGGCAGCTCGGACTCTGACTCCTCTTCTGCAGATGATGCGCTGGCTGGTAGGTCTTTATTCACAGGCCCCTAGCTTCTGAATTGCGTCGCGGATTGGTTTCAGACAGCTGTGTGCTCTGACGATGCGGCCAGAAGCGGGAAACTGGCGTGAGGATTTATTCTAGCAGCAACCTTAGCTACCTTGAGCTAATGCGCGTAAATCCAGCTTTTCAAGGTTCACGTGGTGCCTGCAAGGCTGCGTGCAGTACGTAATGTCGGCCCCAAGTATGCCTGGCGGCTTCGCCTTTATGATTATCCGCTGACACTAACTTGACTGCGTGGGTTTTCTTTTTGTTTTTGGCTTTCTCTAACTGGCCTGCGGACCCTTTTTGGACTGGGTTGGTTCTTGCTGGCTCATTTTTCGGACTGGGCTGGTCCTCCTGGACTCGTGAGTCTGTGTTTCTAGGTCTGTGGACCCCAGGTACATGTGAGTAAGTCGTGCTATTTGCCAGCCTGTGACAGCATGCAGATTCAAGGCAGCTTCTTGTACATGCAGTTCGGTCAGAGGAAAGGTTGGATTCTTTTGTGAAGTCTATTCTCATCGGGTCCAATTTGATTGAGCCTGAGAGCACTGACTGGGATATTCACCTGGCAACGGCGGCTTTGGGCAGACTGTGGGCTTCTCTCAAGGAGAAGAAGTCTTTTGAATCTCCTGCGGCCTTGCAACCAGGTCATCTGTACCCAATTCCTGGTGGATGCCCTGCAGCTAGAGCTTGCTGGGGTGATCTGGTCGACTGTGGCCGTAGTCTGATTGGCGATGGTATCATCAGTGGTGCCAATCCTCACCGTGGTATCAAGGAGAAAGTGCGTCTGCCTGGTTTGGGTTTTGGGCATTCAGTTTCGACGTCAGAGGTGCTCACAAGCTGGTGGTGGTCAATGAAGCTTAGCGGGGCTTATCCTGCTTTATGTGTCATGTTAAGCTCTATTGCTGTCGTACATGCTATTTCGGTTGCAGATGGGCTGCTTACTGGTTTAGCAGAGTTGAGTCTTTTCTGGAACGCCATCTTCATCGCTGGATTACATCGGACATGGCCTGTGGCTTTGCGTCGATGTTGCCTTGGATGTTCCTCTGTTAGGGGAAAACATTGGCCTTGGTGACAAACTGGTCTGGACCGGTTGGAGATTCTGCTGTACTTTTTCGTTCCGCGGTTCGTCCCTCTTCAAAGTTGGACAGGCCGGTTTCCGTCCTTCACCCACTTTGCGCGGACGGAGCCAAGGTCTCAAAAAAACGATGTCGAGGAGCTGGTTGGCGTGCTGGTCTAGTGCACCAGGGGCGGCTCCGCGCTTCGGCCTTGGCTACAGGCCCTTTATCATCTTATGCGTCGCCCTTTCTTGCTTTTCCGCTCGGTGCTTCCTCACCGGCTGAGATCTTTACCTGAGTCGCTCCCTGCCAACCATGGACATCTGCCGCGGCTGGAAACTCTTCAAGATGGGAAGTAGTGAAGCGAGATCTCTGGATTCCCCCGCCTTCGCATGTCCTCGTCTTCGTGATGGATTGGTTCATGTGGTACTCTCCGGCCATGAGAACAAGGATGTGATTACGTCGAACTCTTTTCTTCGCTGCTAAGTTTTTATTGTCTGCCGCGTCTGTGCAACGACGAATCCCTGTTTGCGTACTTGAATCTCGCGGCCCTCCTGGAGCGGCTGATGCATTTGCGATTGCCGAGCTGGCAGGCATTGGAAGTTTGTGGATCCCTGTTGGTTCTCTACATACTCGTAGTTGCGCATCTTGCGTCAATTTTCTGCCGCGCGTATGTGATCTGCCGGGCTGGTTCACAACTGCTGACTTTTCATCCTTGCCGGCTTGTGTTTCTCTGCTGGAAACCTTGGCGCAGTTAATTCCGCTGGTTTTTATCAGTGAGAAGTCGGCCCTTCGCCTGTCCTGCTTCTCCTTTCGATTAAAACAGTTGTGCGAGAATCAGTCTGTGGTTGCAGCGACGCAGAGCGGTTTGTCTCAGAAAGAGCCTTTGTGTTGTGTTTTACAGGCCATGAGTTTTCACAGCTCGCATCTGGGAGTTTTTTCGCTGCTCGCATATAGCTGGCTCCAGAAATATCTGGGCAGATGACTTTAACAGCGATCGCTTGGATGGCTTTGATCCGAGAAAGCGTCTGGATGTTGATATCTCGGATGTTTTGCTTGCACCTTGGAAATGAAACCTCTGACCCAAATGTCAGTTACTGCAGTTCAATTTGAGCTTTTGAAGTGCGCAGCGACCTGGTATTATTTAGGCGGGTCTATTTGTGCTTT